TATGTCTTATGTTAATATTGTATTATATTACTATATATTAATAGTAATATATACAATAATGATTTCTGATGGAAAGTACCTATTCATAAAGTATTTGGGAAATAGTGGCTTGAAAATAAATAAGTTAAAACATTTATACTTATAAATCAGAAAACCGTTTATTTTAGGCCTGCAGTTATTACTATATAGCTGCGTTTGTGTACACATATATTTTATTTTATTCAGAATTTTCTTGACTGTTCGAATATAGGCGAGATGCTGGTGTAAAAAAGAAAAAAAGGCACTTGGAGCTTTTCCGGCCAACGACTTTGCTTACCCCTGCTCTTCCGCCATTTACGCATTTTTATCACCCTCCACCCTTCCTCTCGTTTCCCGAGCAGCACTTGGCGTTCCGAAATTTCCAGAACCTCTTATGTCATACCCACCTCCCTTCCCTTTACCAGCCATCCATGGGGTTTTTTGGGGTGACAAGACACCCGCCTGTTGTTGGGGAAAGGGGGTGAGCAGTTAATTCTGCGTGTCATTTGCACGCCGCGTGCAATATCTTAAAGGGGGGAAACCCCTCCCAACACACACACACACACACACACACATATATATATATAACTTGATCTACTATGTCTTTGGAAGAAAAAATATAAGGGGGAATTGAAAACTCCTCCCCGACAAAAAAATTTTTACATCAAAAACACTCCCAGATTGGTACGTATATGTCTGCTCTGCAGTGAAGATCTTTTAAAAGAGGGTCACCCAGTTGTGTAGAGGTAATCTAATTTGTGGTTTTAAATAATATATTAATTTAATTCCGTAGATTACAAACTGTATTATCGTGTAGAAATAGTTATGTTTCAAGAACGAGAAATTATAATTAAATTTTAGCCGATATTTATACATTATATTCTCTTTCATTTAATTGTATACAGCATTAAGCAAAAATCTATGTATAGACTACTGATATCATAAAAAGGTATAGTTGTATATATCATATTAGGTATTATAATTTAATTTCAGTTGCAATTATTATAATCCAATTCTTGAATCTTGGTGAATAAATATACCTATTTTTTTAATTATATTATACGTCTATATGAACATACCATATAGGAAAATATATTTGCCACTGGCCTTGATAATTTATTGTGACGATAATTTTGTAAAATACTAGTTTGTTTCTATATTTCAAAACAATATAATCATTATACTCGATGCACTTACATGATGTAGAGTAAAATAAATATCGAGGTTATAATTGAAGTCTTCTTCTGTTGTTTTAAATATTGATTAATATATACATATTTTTGTACAATCCAATATTAAAACAAAAAAAAGACCAGCGAATTAATAACTTTGGCAAACAGCACTAAGGCAGTCAACGTAATTGTATTTACGAAACGAAGCAATAATGTTGTGTGTTTAATATATTACAGGTGTAGGGGTGAAAAACTCGAACAATATTAATCATAATCTCCGATGGTAACATAAAATTATTTTTATCTTTATCATCATGATTTCACTAACTGTTGTGTAAAACAAATAATAAATTTTTATGGTATTTTATATGCATGTACAACATGCTACATATATATAGGTAGATGCTCCTCTTGAACCGATATACTGCAGTAAGGAGATGGCCCACTGTGGTTTCCTATTTTCTCAACTATAATAAAACGCTGGAAAAAGTGAAAACGCGATTGAGCTCCTATGCCGCCCTATGATAAATAGATCTACTTGAAAATATTGTGTTTGTAGTTTTGTACATTATAAAATGTATTTTAATTTCCAAAATATATGTGTTATGTGTTGGCACGTTTGTTATTACTAACATTCAGCAGTTAACCGTGCTAACCGATGACGTCAATCATAACATATATATTTATACAATAAATAAGTTACGTAGTACATAATATACCTATATATATATATATCGTCACGTTTTATCGGAATATATTTAATTGTGTATTCGTTATAATTGAGTCCTTTTCAGTTTCGTTTATAAAACGTAACCTATACCTATATCTGCTATCTGTCCATCTATAATTTATTTTCGACAACAATATGAGAAAAAAGTACTCAAATTGCGTTTGTATACAATGCGTGCCTACAATATATTATTATGATGTTCGATTTCAACAATAGGTACTGCAGTGATGTTGACGATCGTACGTCTGACGTGGTAGTGACGTCTGTATCCATATAATACTTGAGCGCTCTAATATAATATGTAATACAATTTGTCGTACGCCAGAGTGTAGGTAGTCCTCGTCATATTATTATATGCCTACCCGATGCGCGCGTGTGCGTGAGACGACCGGCGGAATTTCGGCAAAAATACAATAATCGTGGGTGACAGGTGTGAAAAAAAAGAGAGAATAACGTCGCGGAAAGAGAATAGAACTGGTGGAGGAGGAGGAGGAGGAGGAGAAGAAGAAGAAGAAGAAGAAGAAGCCGCAGCTGTGTGTAGGATACGCGTATATACCGCTATAACCCATATAATAATATATTATATACGTATAATAATAATAATAATATGCCGCCGCCGAGCGCAAAAAGGGACCGCGCGAGCGCAGCGTGTGAGCTCGTTAAATTAGCGTCGCCGTTTGGGAAACGATATATTTGCCACGTCCCATTGAGCCGAGCCGCCGCCGCCGCTGTACACGCAGCTACCACCTACCTATATACGCGCGCGAAGGCCGCACGCAGAGGACACATACTCACTCATGTTATACGCGAGTCCCTCGAGGCCTATTTAATATAATAAACGCACGCGGTATACATGGTATACTGTTATTATTATTTATCATCATCGTTGTGCATGACGTCCGCGCTCGGGAGGTTTCGGCGTATATTCTTCGCACAACCCTTTCAGCGATTTATTATACACCCATATATACATGTATATATATTTTTTTTATTTCATACACTCTCGTCCTTGTCGTCGTCGTCGTCATCGTACAAAAATAATAATTGCATTTCATCACACGACCGACGACGATATAATAATAATAATAATAATAATAATAAAAAGAAAAATAGTATCGACGACTTCCTACTGTTATACCGTTTCTGCGGCTGTGATCGACGAAGACTCTCGACGCCGCGTGCGTATTGTTCGAGGCGCGGTCGTGAAGTCATTTTTTAAATTTCACTCGGATAAAATATTATAATGATGAAAAAATAATAATAGTATTACGTTATACTCTCAGGCTTTTACGACGAATAGCTCGTTGTATAGAAACCGGTTGATTTATAAATCGAGTGCAAAAAATGATCGTATAGCATAATGCAATATGTATAATATATTTATATATGTATGTGTTCTATACATATTCATTTACGTAGAAATCTGCAGAAAGAATCAATTCGAAGCCAGTATTAGATTATTGTGAAACAAACCACTATATTTAATTTGTATAGTTATTTAATACATATTTTTACTTTGGCCTACACAAAGCGTGAAAATGTGTATTGTATATAGCAGGTATATATTTTATCATAGAGGTTTTGAGATCAAATAATATTTTTTTAACAAAAACAATGGTTTCCAGTCACGTACATTATAATAATTAATAAACGTGAAATGATTATTATAAAGTTGTTTAATTTATGCTCACAAAATATAAATGTAATAAAATATATTTTTAGAAAAAAAAAATCTATTGTGATTTGAGATAATATTACTTTTATAGCGAAAATAAAAACAATAATATATAGCTTAAATATATATTATACAGAATATATTATTCAAATATAATATGCAGGGGTTGCTAATGTTTGATTGTTTATACTGTGTAGTGCGTGCATACCTTCCTTCTATAAATAGTTTACCGCTATAAATATACTTCATTTCAAATTATATAAAATATTAATTAAAATCGATTATATTGTTTTCGAAAAAAATATTAATTACGTAGATAGGAGGTGCCTACATCTTGCCGTATGGCTATAAAGCCTTATAGTATAGCTTGTGTACATTTTAAGAATTGAGTTTTGAATACGAAAAACAAGCAGCATGTCATCAAATGGCAATCTCGGCTGCATTACCTATACGGCTATGTACCTATATACAGACGCGCACCGGCACACGAGATGTCGGACTTGACGACATTTGACAGACGCGTTACACGTATATCTATACCTACATAAACTTGATGTGTCTAATATTATTTCCTATATATTATTATATATACCTAGGTACATTTTTTTATTCGATACGGTGTCGTATAACGAGATATTGTCTTCCATCGTGCCGAAGGTAAACACAAAACCGCTACACCGACGTACACAGGGTGGCCGGGACCCGTCAAGCGAAACCCAATACGTCTGATGTTTTTATTTTAATAAAATAATAATAATACTAAAAAAAAACAACATTTTCCTTTATGTGTGCGTATTTTTTCCGCCCGTTTTCCCTTTAATTATACACGGCAAGCTGGTTTCTGTACACGCACGGTTATTTTTCCATCCATGAGTGAACCAGTCACACGGAATCATGTCTTCAAACCGACACACATACTCACACACTCACGCACACACACACATAATGATATAGAAACACTACACTTCCTCGTAACCCGTTGGAAATGTTCTCTCTCTATCTCTCTCTCTCTCTCTCTCTCTCTCTCTCTCTCTGTATACATACATATTTATCACTCGTAACTATAACTATCCTTCTTATTTTAATTTTCTTCATATAATATATTTCAGATTGTGTAACTCACGCCGGCCGACCAAACTGTATAGTCAATCTACCGAGTTTAGTTGATATGTGCATAAAAAACCGTCTATAAAAGGTATGCATACGTATAATATTTAATAAAAAAATATCGTATTTTACTAACTTTTCAACTCGTTCTATATACCCCATACGTGTTTACTGTTTATACATCATTATATAGGTACCCATATATTGTTACCAACGTTCTGTTATAATAATATAAAGGTGCCTAAACGGAATGTTGGTGCGGGACAAGACGTTATGAAAGTCATGTGAGATTATTTACCTTTATGTGCGAGATCGTCATGATGGTTAGGCGGCCAAGCTGATCCCGTGCCGATCCCATGGTGGGCGGTCAACGATTGGTGATGGTGATGGTGGTGATGGTGGTGATGATGAGGCAGTAAGCCCGATTGTTCGGATCTTGTAATGCCTTGTAACATGCTTGAAGGAACTCTGGAACAGTTTATCGAAAACGTCAATTTGAGCGGGATATATACAAGACAAAAATTTTCACAAAATAATTTCTACACGATGTAATGCTTAATTTATTTACACATCAGTCATCAGATATATTGCATGCATAATATTATAGTAAGTATGTGTTTATTATATATTTATATGTAATATGTATATTGCACGGGTATTTGGTGAAGATAGGATTAGACTTTCCGCCCGGAAGCCCGAAAACGTGTTTGTCATATTATGAATAGCGGTATAAACCCGTAACAGTGGTAAAATACATAATATTTATATATATACCTTCCTACCGACGTTATACTGCAGGCATTATTTAGTTTATGTGTGTATGTACATCACGTCAAAATAATTATGGCTCGGAAGTTACAGAAACTAAAATCACAAAAATGTGAATGCAAAATCAAAAAAAATGCAAAAAAAAAAATTATTATTTAAAATTCAAAAACATAATCATTACACAGTTAGTTATATAACAGTATTATATCAGTATATTACATTATTACCTATGTATTATTTTAGTTTTTATTAAAAATAACTATAGCATTGATGAAACGACATTGCGGAAAATTAGTTATATAATATTGGTACCCGTCATCGTTGTGGCGTATAAATACTGTCTGGATATAACAACAATAATACCTTATAAAAAGTTTTATTTTAGTGGAAAAATTGAATTATTTCTGCTTTGCACAAATCGTTAGAAAATGAAAATACCCAAGTTAAATAATTAAGTAAAAAATACATTTAAGTACTAAAAGAATAACGGAATTTATTTTTAGAAACTATTAAACATGTATACCAAACGATCGAAAAATATGCATTTTAAATTGTTGTTTTAAACATATCATTGTAACTTTATACTTAAAACTAATTTATAGCTATTGGTCTGCTATATTAATCGAAAGCATATATGACAAACTTCTACTACTTTCGAGCTCTAATAACAATTGATAATTTTTCCGAAAATTGTTGTACGACAGTTTGTTAATAGTTATAGTTGTTTTCATGGTGTTTGTATAATGCAATACCTACCTCATTAGATTTAATATATAAATACTTTTAACCACTTTATAAAACCGAGTAGAAAAAAATATATATGACAATATATTAGGGTATTCCTAGACCTATTCCTATAAACCAATCTACCTATAATATCAGTTCTTTACAGACAACTATTTAATTTTGTTACAGATATTATTGTGCTTTGGCAAGATATCCTTCAGATATTCAGATAAAATGCATCTAGGTAGGTATAACTAATTTTTAATCGAGTTAAAAATAAAGAAAAGTAACTTTTAACTTATAAATTTACTTATGTATAACAACTGTTCGAGTAGCTAAACGAGATACAAATTAGTCAACTTGGCAGGCCTTGGTATAATATGCAAATATGTACCTAACTATATAGGTGATATTATATCGACATTCATTTTATCCCAACAATCATCATATAGATTAAAGTTAACATAATATAATTTAGTATGTAGAATGTAGATGATCCATGTCGTACCTATCATCACTAAATACGCTTCTTATGGTGTGTGGCTTACCGTGCCTAAAAAACATTGTATAACGTCATAGGTGCTTTTATATGTAATACATACTTATACACTATACATATAGGCGGATAGGGTGTTTCATCGCCTATATTTAGTTTCCGGAGCTAATTTGTTCTGGTGTATTTATGTACATAGTAATAATAATACTGACAATATACACAATAATGTAGCGAAGGCCACTCGAGCACCGCCATTTCTGCTGCTACGATATCATTTATATACACACACACATATATATATTTATGATATAATTCGACCACTTCGGGACCCCTCGAGCACACTTCAGCCGCGGGGTTGAAAAAGAAAATAATAATAATAATAATAATAATAACAGTATATATACGTAAAACATTATTAGCGTGTGTCGCGTTATGTTCCTATACCTACACAAGTGGTGTGCGCATAAAAGGACTTAGAACATGCGTATCGTACCCATATATTATATGTATACATGTACAAATATATTGTACAAACGATACATACTATGTGTATAAGTATATATTTATGTACCTACCTATATCAACTCATTTTTCTCACATTTCAATATATATACACATATAAAAGAGATTTATGTATATATATATAGGTATACTATACGCATATATACGTTATAATATACACTCACTCGAAATGGTAACGCGATACTCGCTATGGGGGCAGCTATTAATGAAATAATATAAAAGCACACCCCCGCTTTAAAGAGCGATACACATTTAACCCTCGCGGATGATGACGCTAATTCTAATTGACTCCCTATGTAGGTATATAATATAGCATTTAACCACCTTTCTTTTTGTTTGTTTAAACTATTTATTTTTATTTTTGTTATTGCTCTGTGCGATTGCTGTTTTTTTTAATTGCCTCTCTTTTCCTCACAGTTATTATACAGTTAAAAGATTAATAAAAATAAATAAACAATTTTTCCCTCTTTTTATCCTTTACTATACATAGGTATAAAAAGACTTTTTTACTCACAAAATATAACGTAAATAATTACTATAACAAGCAAAGCGTAAAAGTTTGTTATAACGTTAAATACGAATGCATTAATTACTTTACTGGTATCTACATATTTGAACAGTTAGGTATAGGTAGGTACCTAATTAATTATTTATAAGAACCCTTTAAATAAAATGTAATAGGTACAGTACAATTAGACATGAAGGAATAATAATAATAATAATATAGGTATAGCAATCAAGTAACTGGTATATTTTAAGCTAAATACAATATTCACTTTATTTGAAAGCATTTCGTGACTTAAAGAAAAATTCCATATGATCGGCAATAAGATTGGCTAGTTAATGAAAGAGCTCTTGGTGAAAAAGATGCGAAACTGTATAGTTATTTTTATAAAATGGGACATACATATTATGAACATAAATCATAATTATGTATTTGGTAGGTAAATAAATGTATATTTGAAAAGATCTATGTAAATTTAAATATAGGTGTCCTAATAGTACCTTTCATTTAGTAAAAAATATTAATTTTACTTAAATAAGCCAAATAATTTAAATCTAATAATTATATTTTACACTCAAAATATTTATTTAGAAAACAGTTAACTGTTAGTACTTTTTTAGTTTTGATTACTATGTAGTTAAAATACTAAACAACAATAATATAATAAATAATAACTATAATGAATATATGCGTCGTGCCATGAATAAGTTATCTTAATGAGTACTATTTAATTAATTAACATTAAAACCGCTAAATTAAACAAAGATTAATTGTAAGTATAGGTGTTTTGGATATCATCCAAAACAAAAACTGAAAGTATAGTTATCATTTTATTTGAACTGTAGGTAGTTTCAAATATAATGTATACATAAGATAAATAAATCATAATGAATTAAGAGGTTAAATTAATTTCTGAATAATTTCGAAAAAAATCTATGTGTTGTAGAAAATAAAAATAGTTAATTATTGAGCCGAAAATAACAAATTTCATAAAAACCAGCTTTCACGGCATCCGTTTTTTACAACCGATACAATGTTTTTTGTTATTTTAAATAGTTATGCTTATAAGTACTCTAACTACATAATATTATAATATTAATATATATATAATAAATTGTAAGCAAACTATGGGCTAAGTTTTTCGGGAATTCCCAATATTAAACAATATCCCATAATATAGGTAAGTAATTTAGAGTTAATATAATAGTTTAATACATAATACTATTAAATACTTAAGTCTAATTACTGTTTTTTTTACTATATAGATGAGTAGCTATTATATGATTTTCAGATGTACACGGTTTGTTTAAGTTATTTGATAAGTTCGCTCTGATTATATAATTTAATAATAAAAGTAGATATTTCAGTACTTGAAATTTAGTATATCTTTATTTGAGTAACAGTAGAATACTTAACAAAAACTGTTAATGGATTCAATTTGATTATGAAATATGTGAAAAATTGTATAAGGATCATTACAAATAATAGTCACCGTCCACCAGTATAGTTATGTGTATACTGCTAAAGTATAGTAGGTACATATACAATAAATCGTATGTATAACTGAAAAATTTAATATTATAGTCATTGTATATAGATAAGATTAATAATAGGAATAAAAATTTAGTTAAATTTCCAAAAATAAATTAAGTTTTACACTTTAACCTATCCGCTACAAGTTCTCTGGTGCCCTAATACGGATATGTTGAAAGTGGAACCATTTAGTTGGTGGTGCCATAAAGCGAATAATTTTTAGGGGCCGTTAAATTAATTATTGAATGAAAAAATAAATATTATTTAGAGGTGTAGGTACTAGGTATTATGAGTTGAATAAAAAGAATTTTATAATAAAATTCAATAGTATCAATAATATTTCACTGTAAGTCTGAATTATAATAATATAATTTACATAAAATACCTAACAACTACTTTGGACTTGTATTATACAAGTACAATTTAAAAAAATTAACTTTTGTTTATAAATTTAAGCACTATTTAGAGGATTATATTATAATGTAATTATAGATTATATCGGGGAATAAAATACATACTTTTATAGTTCTATGCGTAAATAAAGGTTATAAATTACCAAATGGATATGAAGTATATAATCATCATAATTATAAGAAGTAATTCAAATTTTCTATGATTTTTTGTAGGTTCAAAATATATATAACAGATGTAAGACTTGTATCTAATATTAATTATAAATTGTTTAGGTATGAAATTTAAAAACGTAGGTGAATTTGCAAATTAACTTAGCCCCCACCTCATAAGACCGCTTACAAACTACTCAACTGAATATTATATTAATCTGAATAATTGCATAAAATACTCAAAAGTATACCGGTTTATGATAATATAATACGACGTAAATACATCAGTATATGCATATAGGTAGAATAAATTAATAGGGAGCTTACACATAATTATATATACGGAGTCAACTATAGTGACTGGTGCTGTGTTAAAAGTGACAGGAATAGGTACCTAGGAATTATTTATTTTTTTTAATCGTGCAACAAAATAGGTTTTTGTATAGGTACATATTATATACTATACACATAAAACACATACGTAATGATAGGTACACGGTCGTTATTATAGCAAAGAAGGGTTGAAGACGTTCAAAATATTAATGTCTCGTGATAACTGACGATATATACATACATAGATTCGCTACGAAATACAGCTGATAGGTGTAAAATAGATAGGTACTTGATATAGGTATAAGTGCGAATTGATTTATAAGATAATGCGGTATGATATAATTTATTACTCACGTGTTGAAGTTAAAAAAAAAAACAAACCCACGCACTGAACGACGTTATAATCCGATGTAACAAATATTATATTTACTGGATTTTCACGTGTGGAGACCACTGTCAATCCGATTTAATCATCACTGCGGTAAATAAATTATGATATATATATATATATGTTATAAGTGAAAAAAACGAAACCGAAAAAGCGAAAAAAAAAATACGTATTATATTATTATATACTCGACGAGAGAAAACTATTCGATCTTCGAGAGCTTAAATAATAACGATGATGAAAAATAAGAAAAACAAATAACCTGAATTAGGTATAATTCATATTATTCTCAATATCGCGAGTACAATAAATTATAACTACGTCGTCGCGTCGTACTGCCGGACGGGAGCCGCGTGCAGCGTCTGATGCGTTTCGAGTGGCCGCGCGGTTCGGTAACGTGTGCGCCCCGACCGACGAAGCCACCGTGTGTTCCGCCGCCTGGTTTCCGCGCGCGCGGCGGTGGCGCGGCGCGGCGGCGGGTAGCGATTGCCGCTGCGGCGTCGGTGGTGGTGGTGATGGGTGGAAGGGCGAGAAGGGGAAGCGAGGGATTAGCGTACGGCGGGCACCACCACGGGATTCGGCGGCGGTGCGTGTGTAAAATATTTTTCGGGGTCGGTCGGAACGCGGCGGAGGGTGGGACCGGAGCGCCGCCCGTCCGCCAATCGCGTGCCGGCGCCCAGATCGATATAGAACGCCGCGCTCATTCGTCCGGAAGATATGTTCCATCCGCCAGGCGCGACACACGAGCGCGCGCGCGCGCTCCGAGCTTCCCGCCGCCTCTCCACTCGTCCGTCCCACCATCGCCACAGCCGTCGCCACCGTCGCCGCCGGTCGTACCCCGCGCGATGGCATTATAATAATAATAATAATAATAATCATTTTTAACTCCACGACACCCCCTCCAACCCTCTCTCCGATAACGCCGCCGCTTTTTATCTCCCCGCCACCCGGTCGGATATATAGCGACACCCAACCCGCCGAACACACACACACACACACACACACACACACACACACACACACACACACACACACTTATATATACGTACACCCACCCTTACCCGCCGACTGACACCCCGCAACTCCGACGAAGTTATATCCCGCTCTGCCGTAACGTCCGTTTGTTTGCGTTTCGCGTATACGTATGTATTTATTGTTGTTTTTTTTCTCTCACCTCTCTCGTTTACCACCGACCACCCGCCCACCCTGCACCAACCCACTACACCCTCCGCACCCTTTCCCACCGACGCGGCAAACCGTTAACACGCTTACATATATACATATATATATAGGTATGTATGGTGCACGAGCGAGAGGCATATAAAGTATAAACATTGTCACGCGCGCGTTTCTCCGCCGCCGCAGCACATCCCTGCAATGTCTGTTTGTGTACATATTACATATTACTCGCGTAGAGTTATATATATATATATTATTCGCACATATTATAATATATAGGTATCATCATATTTGCGTAGGTACTTATGTAATATGTACAATGTATATTGTATATGTACATTTTGGTCTATATATAAATTACGATATTTATACGCCTATTATATATATATACATAATATAATACATAATGGCTACCTATATTTAGTGCAGCGGAACGTTGCTATTCGGCATCCGTGTTCATTTGACTATGATCCGCACGTGCGTACAAGAGATGCATTATATTAATATGATGCGGTTGTATTATAACGTAATATATAGGTAAACCTACTAAATACTATTACATATATATATATATATATATATACTAAACATACACACACTATACGCTCACACGTATACCTATATACAGTGTGTACATTATATACTGTACACGCATATATTATATATTATACAGGCTACAGCCATCATCATTTATGTCAGGTACCTATATATATTATACTTATCATATTATATTATGTCCGTATGGGCATTATACATTATATTACCTATATGTATTCGACGGTTCGATGAATTTATTTTGCAAGTCCTGTGAACTTACTGAGCTGAAATAGGCTCGATTAACTGCCGAGATGTATATTATATTATATTAATATATATTATACCCGTGCGTAATAAGTAATAACTATATGTATACGTATTGGTATACAGTGGCGGAGTGAAATTTTTTTCCCTGTGAAGCAACTACCTTAAATAAGTATCTTACCCACACACCAAATTCTACACATTTTACACTTATTTTTTCACACATTTTAAAGGTTATAGATAAGATCATATAAGATCACATATGTAACTATATATGCGAGTATAAATTATAAACTATACCTAGTCTAGCCGTCTATATAGGGCTTTGAGGCTGGAATCATTGAAGTGCTCACCCCCACTTTTGCAAGAGACAGCTGCCTTAAAAAAATAACTATTCACGTAGCCACTGTTAGAATATAATATATTGTAGGCCAAACTATAATTTCTACAGAATTACAATAATACTGTCTAATATTTATACCTATATATATATTCTCATAAAGTTTATTAGATACATGCATCTCACACCAAACACATTTTAACATTAAATTCTATCCTTATTTGAAGTTTGTATTAATTATACTAGTATAGTATATAGTCACAGTTAAGGTCATAAAATATAATAATATATATATAAATTTACTTATAGTCACATATATTTTTCTTACATCGAAATTGTTTTCAGAAAAAAAAGTATAGCTGGTATACTTGTATAATGTATATAGATTAGATATCAATACGCAATTTAATATACGTTGATTTTAAATGCATAAAAATGTATTGAAAAATACAATAATTCTTGCTGCTATATGTTTAAAATATTTTCGAGGGTCTCAAAAACGCCAAGGCGGGTCACGGTTTAATGACCAGGGGATCTAGACTGTGTTTTTTCACTGGTTTATGTGTTTTATTATACCTACTCGATTATAGAAATTAAACACTTACCATAAAATGTTTTTAATGCTTGTATAAACATTTAAGGAACTAACTTAATCCCAGTCCTTTTTCATGAGATTTTGAATAAGCCGCTATAAAATTGATACACAAATTGCATATTATTTTCTTAATGTTGAAATATTTACAGTGTGTTTGTTGCATTTTTTAAGAGCATAATAATGGCCACGACCAAATGCATCTTTCGGCAGGGCAAAACGGCCTCTGTGAATTATTATACCCATGTATAGAGCATAATAGACATTCAATAATACCCGCATGTATACATCGTTATATTTAGTTCCCTATACTGTTTTAAAGTTTTTTAAATAAACCTATGTTATATAAATATACAATTTCGATTTTGAACTATAATTATTTCAGATATGTATTATAGACGGCTGATAACTAAATTAACCAATCGTCATATTCAGTTCAACAAATTACCTACTTTCATTGAAATTATTTTGTAGACATAAATTATATTACCTACTCTTAGAATTTAAAATAAAACTTCAGAAAACAAAAAATATACTTATAGCGACACTATATTTAGTTTATGATGTATATGGCTATTGAATAAATACGTATACAGTATATATAGGGAAGGGATTGGACATAACAATAACCATTTAACCGTATTTATACAACAGTTGTCTGTTTATTGGATTTGTGTTTGGTTCGTTGATTTTGTCGTTATTGATATTTGAAGGGGTTGGAAATCAGTCGTAAGGGTATTTTCGAAATTTGGATATGTAGCTTAAAACTTAAAATAAGTGTTTGAATTTTTACAAATTTAAATAGATATTTCACTAATTTTAGATACTTAAAATTAAATTATAAATGACATTAATATCTCAAATATTGATTTTTAATACATAAACTACAAATGTTGAAATATAATAAATTATACTTTTGTACCACCTTATTATAATATATGTAGTACCACAACTGGATTAATACTTTTTTTTTAAACAATCCTTATCATGTGTATAATATATAACTATTAAATAGTATAAACTTGTGGAATTTAATCCATATTTACTATATTATATAGCTGCCCCACTTGGCGTTGTCCGTGCCATAGCTAGGTTTTTTTTTTTTTATAAATATATTTGTAAAAATATACATATACCATAACCATATATCTATTAATTATAATATTAGTATAATATGTACTTATATAATCAAATAATGGCAACCTTATAAACAAACAAAAACATCTTATTTTCTATCTTTTCGTGAGCAAAAAAAAATGTTGTTACGAAATACGAGCTCCCTTTTAGTAACACAATATAGTTATAATGAATAGTAAAAAAAAAAACTAATTTCTATACTATGACAATTTAATAATTTATAACTTGACAACCATTATTATAAACAAAAAACAATTTATAGAAATTCCCATTGAAATAAAGCCTTTCAGTTTTTCCCAAATTTCCAATTTTACTTTCAATAAAAACCTCATTCAGGGTATTACGAATATTTATAAAAAAAACAGCCAAATCTGTTTAGCCTTTCTCAATATTGATGCTCTTACCATCTATAACAGCTATTTTTCATTTTATTATATAGATATTCAGTGATGATTCCCCAAGCATGATTTCACCTTAACTTTTCCTATAATATAAAAATTCAGATTGTTAGAATATCAAGTAACCTACTTACCTACTTATAAAAACCATAATAATTTATGAATTATGATCCTTAGATTTTTACGTAATTAAAGGATCATCCTGAGTGAAAAAAACTTTTTTCATATTATAAGCACCCATTTTTCATTGAAAATTTTTAAGAAGGTTATTTTTTTTTTTTGAAAAAGTATGTATACAATACCTTGTATATTGATATAAATTCAAATTCAAATTCATACAGTTTCTAAGTTATTAAACTTTAAGTACCTACTATACTGATAATAATATATAGTCTTAGTTTTAGATAATAAGTTAAGATAATAATACATATGGTGCCATGGGGATTGGAGGCTATAATAGTTGGATAATTTTAGACTATGAAATATAACTCGTATTATATAATACGATTTTATATAGTAATGAATATAAAATATGTATTAACATTTTATAATTTTTAACATTTTTCCGAGTATACGTACCTACCCATATTAATAACTAGACTTACTCACATATTAAATACATTTTATTGTAAAACCATTATAATTTATAATAATATGTAATTTTATAATCTGTTCTTGGACCTTGATGATAACTATAATGTGTAATAACTCAGAAACTTTTCGTTTAAATTTCAAATTAAAAATGTGTCAACAATTTTTAAAAAATGATCCAAATAATATTTTATAAAAACGATAGATCTTTTTTGAAAAAATGAAAAATCGCTACACGATACTCTATTGTAATCTGTAAGTATTTAGAAATGTGGTATTTAAGTATAGAATTTTTATTATTTTTTTATTTTTTACTAGATATTTACAATCTATTCATAGAATAATAAGCAAATTAGATAAGAGTAAAAAAAACACATGAGTAATATGATGGAAGAAG